TCCTGTTCAACAGAAGTGTGTGTGTGTGTGGGGGGGGGGGGGGGGGGGGACAATAGCAAAAAAAGACATTCTAATCACATGGATCAGCAAACTCAAGGTATTAACACCAACACTGCAGTTAGTGACCCTTTTGATTAAGAGTACTTATTAAAACAACAAAAATAAACATTGTAGGTATTGTTGTTATTTAGTGAAACTGTTACAGTGGAACTGCAAAGAGTTGAACAGCGTGCAGCACAAAGTAATGCAATCGGAGCTGCTTTGTGTCAAAAAGATACCTGCGTTTCAGTGGAATGTTGCAGGTTGCAAAAATACACCCTCATTCGTTTCAATGAGGCCATTCCTGTAACACGGGGGGGCAACCTTTGCTGCAGCGCAACATGATGTAACCTGACAAGGCACGGCTGTGTGACCCATTAAATACATACAAGTGCAAATTCCTGGTGGATTACTATGCAACATGAACAGCATATTTCTACTCTCCACCTCGTGATGAAGTTGTAAAATCCTGTCTCACAGTATTAAAAACTTGTGCTGCATTTTGGTATCTGGGAAGCCTTCAAACTAACAGGATTTCAGCAGACCATGAATTGAGTCATGTCCACCTCATTTCCTTTTCCTTGGAATGTGCCAGGACACCTCCTGTTAACTTTACTCTAGCTGTATACTTTCAGGTGATGTTTGAAGAAAGAGTTTGAGTTGTTACCGAGTGTTAACAGTTGAGATATTGACACAATGATCGGTCAAAAGCAGGAATAAGCATTCCACATGAAGATTAATAACGGATCAGTGAATGCTCACAATCAAACCCTGTCTGACTGTGGGAGGACGTAAGCTTTGAGGAATGTCTCACCCACTTTCAACACCCCTCACCCCTTTCTTCTAAACACACAACATCTCTCCGTCCACCAGTACCTCGCCCTTATTCTCCTGGTTGAAATGTTGAGGAATGGATTGGACATTAAGACCAGCGTGGATAACAGACATATGGACAAACTGCAACAACTACACTTTCACCTGACACTGTAACAGGTGGAGCAACTTGTCTCCACCTCATTTAAGTGTTGTTTTTGGTTGAAGACTGCATTTCAGGGCAGTGTTTTGAACATGCTGGGGACGGAGAGGCTGTCTGCATCCTGTTCAAAGCTTTCTGACACAACAGGTTTACACTGACACTCCTATTACACAAAAGATGAAAGAAACATTTTCATTGTTAAATCAGAAATGGGCCCCCCCCCCCAAACAAAATCCCTGGTGTACGGATGTGGATAATGATGTGAATAACTGCTGGTTTTCTTTGCCTCTAAACTGAAAGTTTGGGTTTGGTCAGACAAAACACGCAATTTCAACATGTTGACTTTTTCACAATTTTCTGACGCTGTGCACGGCCACTTAATGAGAATAAGACAGCGATTGGGGAATACAGAACAAACAGCGCAGGAAACAAAACGCAGATGACAAAATGTACAGGACGTCATGCGGACCCACGACTGACTTCCGACAGGACGCGGTGTGTGTCGCTCCGAAAGGAAATGAAAGAGCAGGAAAGAAAGAAAACGTTTCAATCGGCAGCTCTGGAGCCACAAAAGGCTTTATAGAACTTTTCTCACATATGCAGTAATACTCTCCTGGAAGAGCTGGAACAGACTGATGTGTAAAATCAGTGGAGGACCTGTTTAGGGAGGTGCCGAATGTACTTTCTTAATGCAGAGCTATTTCGTTGACAAACATACTCAGACTGCTTTATTTATTTCAATGTAGACTTACTTAAGGCTAAGTTTGTACTGTGGAGATGTATAATGTAGGGAAATATAAATTAAATATATACATAAATGATCAAACTCTGGAAGTTGTGGCACAAAAAAAAAAAAACCCGAGGATGTACCTAGAAACTGCTGCTGCGCTCCATCAGGTTTTTGTCTCTCTCACCTTACACAAGGTTGAATCCAGCTTGAGACCAGAAGTGGCTGCTCAGGATCCAGATAAAGTCATGAGAACCTAGCTGGAGCCCAAAATAGGACGGAGCCATTGAGACTACTCCGACCCAATTCATCACAGAGCACAGCTCCGAGCAGAGCAGAGGACGAAAGAGAAGCAGCACACAGAATTATCCTCTCATCCGCCCCCCTGAGTTTCGCTTGCTGTACAGACAGACGGATGGAGGGAAGGGAGGAAGGAGAGGCGTGGTGGTCAGAACATTAGCAAGTTATACACCAGCAACAGATATGGAGAAACTTAAAACATACCAACGTCTTTGATTAATATTCCATGAGTACAAAATAAATAAATGGGTGAATTAGTCATGGAGTGGAGAGGGAACAGAGCTAATCAGGACTTGGTTAGAAATAATTAACACGTTTCTGTTTTCATAGCCCTGCTTCTTACTCCCTCAGAATTTGTTCCTGTACGTCCCTCCCTTCTCCTCCTCCTCCTCCTCCTCCTCTTCTTGTTCTCACTCTGTCCTTGTCTCTCTCTCTCTCTCTCTCTTCCTGTGTTGCAGGGTGATGTCACCATCAGGGAGCTAATGCTCCGCATCCTTAGGGTGTTGCATTCCTCCCATCTGACTCTCATACACGGCACAAATGAAAGCCAGAGCTGACACACATGGACCGCGACAGTTTATCTCATTCGTCCAGTCCACCTGTGCCTTACAGCTATGTGTAGTGTTCAATAACATTTAATAGTATTACAATGCAATAACAATTTCCCAATCATTTCAAATCCCTTATCTTATTAGGTTCACCTTTTTAACTTTGGCTGCAACTAAATGCGAAAATAACTGCAACCCAATGATGTCTAATCACCTTTTCTTGGCTGACAAGGCAGAAACACTACAGCTTTAAATGTTCACAGCCTGTACTTAAAACATTAGGACACATTTAAATAATATCTGTAGCCTACCTACTAAATACTGAAAGTTCCGTCTCACAACTATTAGGATGATCCGATTACTGTCAAATATTGATATATGAATAAAGGTTCAACGGGGAGATTCTTAAAGTGACGTGAGGTGAGGAGCTGGATTATTTCGCCACTCTGTTGATCTCTGCTGAACTACAAGAACACACACAGTCCACTAACAGTCCTCGTACAGCGACACAACAGAGAGTGATGCGTCCTTTAACAAACAATCTTTGGCTGAATACAGACACCGGCTGCAGAGAGCACATGAACAGACAATCATTTCACTGTAGTTGAACAAATTTAACGCAATAGCTGATTGCGACGTTTGTCATTTTAAGAGCCGGCTAATAAAAATGAAGCCTGTGGACTATGTGATTTGCACTCTTTGCTAGTAAGAAAGTGAGGAGAGATAAAAGATTTCATAAGAGAGTCGTTAGCATCTCTCAGCTAACTAATCGGGGTATTTTCCAAAATGGAACCAGCTACCAGTTCCCATTCCTAAGAGCTCTGCTGATAATGTTACTCAGAAGACGTTTGGCTTTCCTAATTGCCCTTTTAGGGACTTCCTGAAACTGCAAGCACAAAGCAAAAGGCCGCCGAACGAGATTTTTCTTTTTGCCCTAGAGGATTTTCTCATCCGCTTACTGCCTGTACACCCAGCAGCCTACAGACACAATTTTCCATGCTGACTTGTTTGCTAGTCACGCTCAGATGACTAGAACACAGATAAGCCTAAACTCAGCATTTCCCTGGGTTCTGTTAGGGTGGAACATTGTGTTTGAGCAGCTCAACTGATAAGCACCCATGGCCTTAAAATACACAAACCAGCGGCTCCCCACCGAATACGAGCATGAGCAGGAAAAATGGAATAACGGTCGTTATTGGGCATTCCCCTTCTGTCTATGCTCCACTTCCTAAATCTTTGCTCGGGAGAACTTCCTGCGTTCGCCATCCCTAAGGCTCGGGCTGGCATGTACAATAAGCAAAACACCAGTAGTAGGCCAGTGGTGGAGAGCAGGCCAAGGAGAACACTATGAGGTGCAGCACCAGGGTGACACAGCCTCTGGAGATCCTGACACATATAGATAGAGCTTTTGATCCAGAATTGTCCATAAAGGCTTCCGTAGTGACCAACTGAGCTTCAGCTGTCGTCTGAGACGACCTCAATACGACAAGAAGAAAAGAATAAGAGTGCACGGGCTAGAGATGTCAAGTCTGTCATTATGATACACCATCTCTGATTTTAATTAGAAAGTTAGGATATTTGGGGTATTTGTATGGATGTCCCGATCAAATCTGGATCCGAGTCCTTTAATGCCGATACAGAGTTTAATCCGATACTAATTAACTTTTACCTAAATGTTGAATTAATATGTATCCGACGTTCCACAAGCTACCTGATCCACATACTCAGGATCCTGACTCAAAACAATAAGCTTAACTTATTAACGTATGCTGTGGGTAAAATACTTGTTTGTGCACTTCAAGCCAAGAAAACCTTCCAAAACATTTAATAAGTGAATGTTTTGATCAGAGATATTGCACTGTGTCATTTCTCTTCTAATTACATGTGTGCAAGGATTCATCTGTGTGTGTGAGAGCTCTTTTTTTCTTTTCTGAACATTAGTGTTTCCAATCCACCATCTACATCTATCTCTATTTGGAAATTACACCACTCATACTTTACTTTTACAAGCCAAACACAGCCCACTTCACACAGAGAGGCTCTGGATTACATCACTCGGTAGAGTGACAGTCAAAACCACACGGATGCTGCTGATGACAGCCGCAGACATAATGACTTCTGCTTTTACATTAATGTAGTCTAGATCGGGGATTTCCTTCCACTGCATTGGCACTGATTTATGTGTGTGTGTGTGTGTGTGTGTGTGAGGGTAACACTTCCACTTCTGACCACTACCTGCAAACCGCCTGATCAGCTGTTCTGCTACAATGACATCATACTTTATCCTGTAGTAGCTACACAAACAATTGACATAAAAGCATGCACACACACGCATGCATGCCAGGAAGATATCTTTAAGCATTCTTCTTCTGGGTTTGTGTCTGCCCTTTAACAATGTGACAGTGTAGCAACACAAAGGGGAGCAGTCCAGTTGATGGATGGCATTAGTTCTGCAGGGCTCGGATACCGGTGGTAGCATCTTTATTATGGGGAACGCGCCAAGACAATTAAGGGAACGAACAAGTCTGTGAGCTGTATGAGGGCTACAGCAGCCGAGCAGCACAACAAGGGTGTGGTGACTCCGAGAGAGGAATGTCCTCGGGACGGACAAATGTTTTAACAGTTACTTCAAATGGGCGAGAAGGAGAGACTTTTTAAAAAGGCCCAGACAAAATAAGAAATGGTCCCTCACTCGGTAGCCTATAAGTATTATTGATATTTTGCCTTTTAATAGTTCATGTACAGCAGGAAAAAAATACTCGATGCCATCAACTCCCATTTACTGGCTAAACAGGTTTCCCGACAGAAAGAGGCGATACGTTGTTTTTACAGCAAGTAAAGATCAGCGCTACCTTCCTCCACAGCTGAAGTCCATATAATTAGATTACGTAATAAGGCACATTATGAGGCAAGGCTGGGTTTGTGTGGTAGGAATGCTGATATGACCCATATCTCCGACGGGAGAGAACAAACAGGTGTGCCCACACAGTTAGTTGTACTTTTATTTTATATTTATACGAACTAAACGTCGAAAACGCGTAAGCCATTAGGCTGGAAAAACAACAACTTCTAAACAAGTAACAGGTTTCAACTCTCCGAGCTGCAGCTTGGTCGTATCTCGGCTCATTAACGTGTCACTTTTCCTTCACACCTCAAAACTCGCTTTACTGACTCGAGGCGCACTTCGGCGCTCGTGAAATTAAAAGGAAAACAAATATTGTTTCTTACCTTAAGTGTGCTTTTTTTAAATATCAAAGGCCTCCGTGTTCCCCTCTCCTGCCGACTTCCGTCCGTGGAGCAGCTGTAGAGTAAAAACGGTCGAGGAGGAAGCGACCAAACCGATACTCACAAGACCCGCCCTTAACACTGCGTTCATGGTCCCCCTCGGAAAACTTGAAACCGCCATTTTAATCGTCTGGCTCGAGGAAATAACGCAACATATTTGTATATTTTTAAGACACACACTTAAAGAAGATAAAGATAAAACAGTTAAGTGCAGTATCTTATTGTTGCCATATTTTTTGACATGGTTTGCATGCTCTCTGCCAGCTTTCCCCTCAAATCCGTCACACTGAATACCACACCAGATCTCTACTGACCAATGTGATTTATATACAGTGAATTAATGTTCCTTTTGCTTTTATTAAAGCTCATATTGGATTGGCACTAATATTTCTTAAATTTCCTGTCTCTGTACCTATATTTTCCTGAAGGAAACAAATACATTCTACTTTGTATCCCAATTGCATACTAAATATCTACTTTGTAATACCACGAGGTTACCAATTGTCACAGTGCACTCTTGTGTGACTCTTGTCGTGCCAATTTCAAATGTGAAAACATCAAAAATAGTCCAACATTTAAAGATAAAACTGGCTCAAGTGATACTCATTTTCCCGATGAAGGACCAATCTAGGTTGTCCCTTTTCTAATAAAATTCCAGTATTTAATAGAATGTTAAACAGCGATTATTTTTGTGAGCTGTTTCCAGAACTGGCACAAAAACATCAACATTTGTTCTGACGTGAAAGGCTCCTGCAAATCCCACTGTGTGCAGAATCCTGTGACACAAATCGTCCATCAATACTACACATCAAACAATTAAAGGAATTTATTCAATTCTACTATTCGTTTAACACTACCACACTGAAAAACACAGAATTGGTACATTTGGGACAGAGGCTCACATGCGTACAGCATTCTGAAATTAAAAATTCCCGATTGCACCTGAATGCAGCACGGTGTCTTCACTGTTTAAGATCCCAGCCTTTGCACGCTATTGGTGGACAGGATTTAACCGTTAAGAGGCCCCTCCCCTTTACGGTTAGAGAATAATGACATCATTTATATAAAGAGGTGGCCTGTCGTTTAAATTGTCACCATTAGTTGTGTTTTCAATGCTCAATGTTTTTCAGTGTTTTGTAAAAATCTGAGATGAATACTTTTGTTCTTATTGATCAGAACATTGACATAATCATATGTTAATTTCATTATTCATATCATTAGTTAATAATTACTAATTATTATCAGTAGTATCATTCCTTGTTGTGTAAGGAAATGGACTTTAACTGGTTGCTGTTTTCACACAGTGCTACAGGAAATCACACAACAGGGATTTGAGCTTTGTGAGGTCAGAAGTTAATTCGCCCTAGAATGCAGTACACTGTAAAAACATAGCAGCTCCAGGGTAAGAAGGACGTTTCACGGCATACAGTAGGTCTATTATTAACCCACAGTAGCCTATTATAAACACTCACATGTTTATCAAGACAGAGTTATTTTGAAGTCAACCGGGAAGTTTTATTGTACCCAAAGAAAAACACCTAGCGGCCAGTTTCTAGTGCATTAGTTGTGCTTCTCGTGTGGGGAGACAAAACAAAGACTTAGTTGTTAACAGGCTTGAACCACAAGCCTCCACAACACACTGAATGTATCCTCCTCTGTATCCTGGCTCTTTGACAGTAATTTGGACAGTTCTCTGCAGTTTCCATGGTAATACCCACATACTGTAGTTTAAAATAAAGCAGTGCACAGTGGCCCCTCCCAGTCCCATAGCACACTGATGGTATTTATGTGAGCTGTCTGGGAGGATGGGGGGCTGCTGGCGGATGTGTGTCGACCGGAGAAAGATGAGCGTTTGCAATGCAGCTGCAATTCAGAGAGCTTGCAAACAACACCCCTATGTGCTCTCTCCATCATTCTTCCTCTAGCTGCTATTGTGACACCATGCTACGTGGTGCATCAGCTGATTCTGTACATGACATGTAGAGGGTTGAATTGTTTGGAGACATCTATAGTGTTGGGGACTTTTAATATTTAATGATCTGTGCACACAGAGTCATTTTTTTAGTGTAAACAAATGTAAACTTTTGAGTTTCTAAAGGTTTTTAACAGTGAAATTTCAGGCTGAACTTTCACATGTAAATCTATGTCATTGGCCAATGATAATTCATCTTCACTGCTTTTGAGTAAACAGAGAGACCTGGTCCAATATGGAGAGACAGCTATCATATTAGCACCATCCAATCTAAAAGAGTCGTAGTATAAACTGCCACTACACCACCAAGTTTCCGGCACCACCTATTTCACAAGGAGGCATAATTGTGCTACTCTCTAAATCTAGAAGCACTTCTGTGTTTTTTTTTATGATGCGAGTCGCAGAACTAAAAAGATTAGAATAATTAAAGTATTATTTTTATCAAGATAGAAAACATATTAGCATTTAGCACCACTGCTGAACCAGAGTGAGCACGATTGAAGTACAGAAGTCAAGTGTTACTATTCAGCGCCTCCAGTAGCTGGAAGAGTGAGTAGAGTTTGCAGTGTGGGCTCAGTAATATACAGTGCAACAAGTTTGTACAGCCTCGAGGGGAAACTCCCACACTGCTATGAGATAGCCAGACTTTTTCACAGTAATTTAGATGTATGGAGTGAGTTAGTGTTGTTGTTTTTTTACAGTATGAGTATACAGGTAAGTTGTCGAGAAAAGATGCTGTGTGATTTACTGTGTTGGAGGAGGGTGATTGATTGGAAGAAATAGACAAGTTCAGAAAATAATTGGTGCAAAAGTTTGGTTTGATGTCATGGAACTACACCAATCAACTTCCACTGAAAATAATGGATTTAAATCCATTATTTTCCATGTGTAATGTTAAATGTCTAGTGTCACAAGGTAAAATAAACCGAGGAAGGAATCCATCCACAGATAGCTAGGACAAGATAAATAAGCTGTGAAAATGGACAGCAAAACTGTTCACACAAACTAGCAATATGTTGACCGGCCTGGGGCAATGTGTCATACAATTATGCATTACCAACCAAAAATGAATGATGGAGTTGTACAGTAGACTCTAGTGTCAACATGTTACCATTACACGGTGGGTTTAGAGGATGCACTTTTAATCTTACACCATTACAATTCAGACGGTAGTTTAACGATGTACGTAAAACCTTTCATCTCCCTCTGTCGTGAAAAAAAAAATGACAGTATCACAGACTATGCTGACATTGCATCATGGTGTCCAGCGTGGCATATAGACCTTTTGAGAGGACGGCTTGTGCATCAAAATTTGCACATACAATGACCTAAGCCTTTCATTGATTTGTTAAAGCTTATATAATTCAGCATTGGGGTTACACAGTGCCTTTTCCCTCTGGAGACAACACCAAAACATCAATAGTATCTCTGTGAAACGCACTTCTGGCATTTCTCGCACTGGTCGTTATGGATCAGTGAATACAGAACACAAGAGAACAAGCTTGAGGCTGCGGTGAACTACTGAGTCACCCGTCAAGGCCCTGAGGAAGTTTGCTCATGAGAGAGGAGGTGGACTAGATGTCCTCACTTCACCCTTACGGCATTTACACAGCTGCAGTATGTGATGACGCAGCGACCCTTAGTGGTGTAACACACACAGTACAACCGGCATGCGTGTCACTGTCTGCGCGAGGTAATCTGTTGGAGTAGTGAGGAAGGCTGACGACAAGAAACAGAAGGAAATCCACCTCATCAACCTCGTTTGGTTGAAACAATGGAGTCAACATCTGGACTCGTTTTCAGTCCAGATGCTTTCATGCTTAGAAAGAAAAGGTCCTCATACCCCGTCAGCACAGAAATGATTAGAGACACAATATTTTGGCCATGGACCAAATTCACAATGTGAACCAAAACATCTTCAGACTAATAATGCGATAGGCTGTGATAACAAACACCTGACAACTGAATTAACACACAGTGACTTTAACCAGTAACTGATTACATGTTGAAATATATGTCAAAAGGGGTTGAATACCAATTAGAATAGAGGAAAAATAAGACTAGATGGGGAAAGCAAAATAAACAAGTTATCAACAATGGAGCTGTAATGATTCATTGATTAGTAAATCGGGGAAAATAATAAAGGGTTTGAGCAGTTTTTAAAAAAAAATGGCAAAGAATCACTGGTTCCAGCATCTCAATTGTGAATGTTTTCGGTTTTTCTTAGTCTTTTTTACGATAGTAAACTGAATATTTTCGGGTTTTGGACTGTTGCTCTATGGGTCTGGGAATATAGGCTCTGAGAACTTGGGATGGGCATTTTGTGGGCAGTTCAGAAAATATTAATGTCTCCTATCGTAACTGGGTCTTTATAATCTCCATAACCTTTAAGAAAAACAAGTCATATCTGCTGTTTATATTAAGAAAACATGAAGTCTAATATTATACAACACATGGCCGATATTTCTTAGGAGAGGAACTTTTCCCATCAACATACAACAGACCTGACCACTAGATGGCGCTACAATCACACAAATAGTGACAATAAACAACTCCTCTGTATGCCTTTCTTTCTTCGTGGGTACAAAACAATTCATTTTCTTCACATACGATATTATGAGAGACAGATTTTCACCACTATTGACTTCCGATGAAACACCCCCTGCCTACTGCTCATGCTCGTTCACCCCTTCAACTGCAGCATTGACGTTTTGAACAAGGCCAAAACTAAAAATGAAAAACACATTTCTCCAGAAGACGACATTTATAACCACCGACCTCGTCTGCCTCCTCCTACTCATGCTCGGAGCTGATTTTTCTTCAAAATAGTGCTATTAGTAGCAGGGATTGTGGGCTCACTGGTTTCCTCCTCTCCAAAGTGTCTTTCATCGTGGCTCCCTCTGGTGTCTTTTTTCTCAGTAAACTGGAGTCAGTTGAGTAAAAGACACAACTGGGAACAGAGAAAGAGTGAGTGGAAATCATCCCTGCTGCCTCGTATAAAAACGCTCCCACATCACAACCATTGGCCAGCATGGATTATCATTAATCATGTGTCGGTGTTGTCATCGGGGGGAAATGA